AACTGTGAAACAGTTCCGGTTCAAAGCTCAGTTCGTTGCTGTTAATTTCGTCGCGCTTATGCGATGCCTCTATCGTTAATTATTTCTATTTATTGGTTGTGTTTCGCTGTTATAATACTGTTGGTCATCGCGCTTTGTCGTCAGTTTATAGACTTCCAACAGTTGTTTTTTACCTTTAAGCATAGATCTAATGGAACTGGTGGTGATATTGATGAAAAGTTTATCTCTGGTATTGAACTAGACGGCGTAGATGACTAAGGGCAAAACGAAGAAGTCAAATGTCCGCTTCCGGCGACGTTGAACTTACGTCACTGACGATAGACACAACGATCGAGGTTGTCGTGGTGGTATGCAAAATAGACTGCCAAATCTTTACTCCATTACTTCCCTGTATATTCTCTATATTCTATATCAGTGGTTTGTTCGGATTGTTTTGCTACTACCGCCGTAATATCTGGTCATATGCTCTGCTTTCGCTGTTCTGCTCACGTTCACATACTGTTCTCTGTTACGCATAACATTATGTAAGTAGGAACGATGCGAAAGAGCTCTGGCATTTTCACTGACTGAGTGAAAGAAAGTTAACAACTGTGATGCATAAAATTTACTTTTTGGTGTATGAACCGAATGCTGAAATATGTGCTTTAACGCTTTGTTACAAAATTTGTGCCACTTTCGACGGCGAACGTTCAAACGCCACTTTATGACTATCACAATAAGGCGTGGACATTCCCGACTAAAATCAAGAAAGCGCTCTGAATGTTTTGCAAAATCAAAGCATATATACCGCTTAGGACTCTTGACGAATATTCCAACGCAGTGACCATTCCAAGTAAACAATTAATCTAGGTCCTTTTTATCCATCAAGTGTATTTCGCGATTTATCCAGCAATATGCAGTGTTCTGTTAACGGAAAGAGCAGGTATCAGGAAATACGAGAATGTCTGTACTGTCGTACTTGTTTCCATGTGAGTGTCAGCAGACATTTATACCATTTTCTCACTGAAGTGCACTGTAAAAGCTACAGAGATATCAAAAAACCTCTTCTCATCCCTCCTTCCGTTTCGCTATTAATGTTGAACTGCAGTAATGCGATTCTAGACGCCGTGCGAAACAACAACTAACACGGCGCGATTGAAACTGCTTTGAATGGAGGCTAACGTCCGTCTTATGAACTAGTGACCTCGCGTTTGTCTCCTCAACATTTGAACACTTTCGTAACGTGGTAAAGGGATGTCCATATAAACACGGCGAATCAACGTATAGGTTACAACTACAAGTTAAAAGGTATGTAACTCAGAGAAAGTTGCTTCTCCCGGTTCTGTTTTAAAGCATTCTGTTTTAGCATTTTAAAAGCTGTTTTAAAGCATTTAACGCAACGTGCTAATCTCAACTTAAAAAAAGCACCTACAATTTTGCAAATAAAATCAAGAAAACTTATCTACTGTTTCGCGGAACTTCTTCGACGCTGCTGACAGTTTTCAACCGTTAACTGGAAAAATTCACAACGAACGATTTTTAAATCAACGCCATATATTTCGTCTGTTAGGTGATTCTTCAGACCAACTGCTTTGCGTTGCTGTAACACTTCTTCGCTACTGCAACATCGATGTAAAGCAATAAACTTCTGTAATATTTTTACTGTCATTTTCGGATTTGCACGGAGTGGTGCACCATCCTCTTCTGTATGGTAGCCAATGGACGGGTCAGGCTTCATGGTGTTTAAGCAGCTGTAGCACGCCGCACAACAGCACTAA